ACCTGCTTTTATGTTCACACATATTATGTCTAATTCAAAACACAAGCACATTCACACATTAACCTGCTTTTATGTTCACACATATTATGTCTAATTCAAAACACAAGCACATTCACACATTAACCTGCTTTTATGTTCACACATATTATGTCTAATTCAAAACACAAGCCCTAAATAGAAGTTACAGGCTGGCACGCGTATTCAACAGAGTGTATCATTATAATATAATAAAGGATATAATTTTCCTTCATTACGTGGCATATTATAGGGTGAGTGTTTTACTTCTCAACCTCAGTCTCTCTCTCTCTCTCTTTCTCTCTCTCTCTCTCTCTCTCTCTCTCTCTGCCTGTCTCTCTCTCTCTCTGTCTCTCTCGCTCTCTTTCTCTCTCTCTCATTCTCTCCTTCTCCCTTTTTCTCTCTCTTTCTCTGTGTATCTGTGTGTCTGTCTGTGTGTCTGTCTGTGTGTCTGTCTGTGTGTCTGTCTGTCTGTCTGTCTCTGCCCCCCTCTCTCTGTCTGTCTGTCTCTCTCTCTCTTTATATATCAACCTATGTCTATTTTCATATCTTTTTCTATCTCTCTTTCTCTGTTTCCATTTCTCTCTCCTCTCTCTGTGTCTCTGGGTATGTCTCCCTGTCTCTCTTAGTCTCTATTCTTATGTGTGTGTGTGTGTTTGTGGGACCAATGACGTGGTCTGCTGGCTGTGCCTAGCGGTTTAAGTTTAAGGTGTTTTTGTGAAATTGGAAAAAAATACTAATACATCAACTTTAATCGTTCTAATATTTCACACACAATTTGTTTAGTCACTACATGGACTATAACTGTTTACAGAATTTTAAAATAGTTGATAGTCTGTGAGGTATTGCTATTTGAAAAAAGGTCAGCAACACGTACTAAAAAGTGACTCGGATGAAAGACCAAGAATCATTCTCATTATATATAATAATTTCCCAAATCGTTATAATGTGCTAAGTGCGCAACCCGACTGTCTCCTGCTCAGGGATATATATAGTGCATTTCCACTTAGAAAGTATCAATGAGTTTTGCAATACTACATAGTTCAAATGATGATTCTTTCACATTTTCCCTCTCTTTAAAACTCTCTCTCCCTCCCTCACTCTTTCATTCTCTTTCTTTCCCACACTGACTGCTAATGCAATAAGTTACTTACCTTTTTCATTCTAGAATAGGAATAAGTGATTTGCCTGGTTCCTTACTCATTTAAAAATGTAACATCCTTACTGGTCACTTAAATTAAAGAGGGTTTTTTTTTTCAAGCCTTTCACCAACTATGTGAGAACCAGGAAAGTATGTTCAGAGAGAAAAATAGCCCATTATGTAGCCTAAAAACATTACTCCTTGCTTCCTAAAAAAGATTTAAAACTATGCTAACCGTCCCTGTTTTATTGTGATGGTTTTTTGTAAAGAAGTAAGTAATTGAAAATGGCAACTGTTGTGTAGTTTTTAATTTTTTAAAAATATTATGTTATGTTATTTGATTTTGTTGGGGGGTTTTTGTTTGTTTGTTTTGGGGGGGGG